CGCGGCTTCCCGGCGGCAGAGGGGGGCGTACGGGGCCTTCTGGGGAGCAGGCAGCATTAGCCTCGGGGCGGATCCGGCCCAGGGCTCCCCCCTGGATGAATGAGGATTTCAGGGTGTGTTTCCCTCTCCCCCTATACTTTTTTTTTTTTTTTTGCTTTTTCTGTGGTTTAATCCTTTTCAAATGTGACCTTAGTTTTTTGCTTTGAAGACTACCCCTCCCCGTCCCGTCCCGTGCCTTCCACGTCCACTGTGAGCGGATTGCATACATTGCCTTAATAGAGGGCTGATTTGTCTGATGAGATGGCAGGGATTGCCTTGATATTGGAGAAATAAATATTCCCCGAAGAACTGTCAACAAGAGTGACTTCCGAGGATGGAGAGCTCGCCTCTCCCGACCAGGGAGGCCCAGTTTAGCGTCTGGAAGTGGAACAGGTGGTTGCTCGATAGTTGGTGTGACCTGTTCTCCCCAGATGTCCGCCGAGGACTGTGCGCTGAGACCCGACTGCGCTGGTAGAACGAGCACTAAACTAAACCAGTTGGTGAGAGGGCAGAGCTGTAACTGGAAGTTTGGGAAACAGAAAAATAACGGGATAGTTGAGTGGTCTTCAGTGAGGGAAACGGTACATTAGAAAATAGATGATTGGATAACGTAACGTCCAGCTTTTAGGACAACCCTGGGTACAGATAGCCAGCGGTAAAAGGAAACTTGAGAACTGCCTGTAAAGTTCTATCTATCCAGCTCCGTTTCCCCTTTGTCTTGCAGTTAAAATAATATGTTGTTGTCATGTATTCTATCATGGGCTTTAAAACACACGCACACACACACACACACAGAGACACAGCTGCCATTAATGTGCCCTGGCGGGGACTGCTAATCATCTCCAGTGTTTCTCATCACAGCGACCCAGTGAGCTACTGTCCTGTTTTATGGATGAGGTGACAGATCCAGAGGTTAAGTGACTTGCCTACGACACACAGAGCCAAGGTTTGAATGTTCTTAAAAAATTAAACGTACGTGTATTTAATATTTTAAAGAAATGAACACAATGAAAGACTTACAGAGAAAAACAACAGTCCCCTGTCCCACCTTTCAGTCCTCCTCCTTATATATCTTTGTTGTTTCTTCAAGAAGTTCTTAATAGCTCTAAATGATAGGCTGATACTAATTTTACACATTTTTCACTTTACGCTAGCATGATTTAGCTCTTAATATATTTTTTCTATCTGCCGAATTCACTGTTTCAGTTAACTCAAATTGGAACTATGTAAATACTGTTTGTTAATGCATTTTCCTTCTAATTCAGCTGTTTGTTTTTTCTGTTGTTTGTAATGGCCTTTCTCTTTGTGTTTCCTGCGTCCATTGACTCCTTACAGTGTTTTAACCCTTTGAGTGCCAACCAATATCCTAGGAACTATGCTAAAATTGCCAAGGCATTTTTGCTGATTTTACAGCAGTTTAGGAAAAATTTATGAGTCGCAGGTAAATGAAGTTACATATTCAAAAACCTAAGGAGACCTTTACTACATTTGTTTTCTGCATTTAAGTGCCATCTGTCAATAAAGAGTGAACTACTAGCATCTAACAGTGACGCTGCAGGAGGAGCAGCACTTTTGGCAAAAGACAGGAGGAGTGTGGTCGTGCTCCCCCGCACTCTAGGGGTTAAACTCTCAATATAGTGTCAAATCTCTTTAACCTTCCTGGTCCCCTCCAACCCTCTGCCCTTTTTTTAACCTGGATTAACTACTCCATGCCAGCACAGGCATCATCCTGATATTTTCCTTTGTTATACATCTGGACTTGTTCAGGACTCCATATTTTAATCTTGGCTTTTTTCATTTCAATGAGAACCTTCGGCCAAGTAGCCTTATTCCTTTTGGCTAACTTTTTAGGATCCTCTTTCGTTTTAGGACATTTCCAGCATGCCAAAGGATGTGCTCTTTGATCCTGGGGTCTTGTCCTTCAGCTCTGGGGAAGTCTCTTGTTTCATTTATTTGAGAATTTCTTCTTCTCTTTTCTCTTTTACAAGTTCCTGTTAGTTTGATAATGGACATCTTGACCTCCTGAATCTATCTTTATCTTCTTCCTGTGTCATTTTATTATATTTGAGAGAAGGCTTCAATTTATCTTCTAATTCTATTTTAAATTAGAGTTCCAGGGCACAGATTTGTGCACCGGTGGGGTCCCTTGGCTTGGACTGGGCCCGCTCACAATCCAGGACCCCTTGGGGGATGTTGGACTTCTGGTTTTGGCCTGATCCCCACAGGCCAGGCCGAGGGATCCCACCGGTGCACGAATTCGTGCACTGGGCCTCTCGGATGCATATAAGATCTTTGGTTAATCTCTTCCCGCCCTCACCCTCCCTCCTTCCCTCTGAGATTCATCAGTCTGTTCCATGTTTACATGCCTGTGCATTGAGCATCTGCCCCCTGGTGGTCAGTGCGTGTCATAGCTACCAGTTGAACAGTCCTTTAGGCTTTTATGTATATAGGTTTTTTATTTCCATAATTGAAATGTTAATTTCCAAGAGTATATTTCTTTTATTCCTTTTTCATAGTAGCTTATTGTTTTTTAATGAATTATCTTCTTGACACTGAGGATACAAATAAGGATTGTTTCTTTTTTGTTTTCTAATTTCTTGTTTCATTTAATGTTGCTGTTGTCTTTTAAAAAATACTGGCTTCTTGCTTCGTATGGCAAATACTCCTCAATTATTGGTAATTGTTGTCTAAAGCAAGAGGAAACTGGCAGATCTGAGTCTGTGGGGCTGGTTTTGAAAATGTGTGGGTTTCCCTTTGGGTGATTGGGAACTTGTGGTTGGACCTGGAATGCCAGATGGCTTGAGAGATTGTATCTGGGCCTTTCAGCAAAAGGAAGACTGCTTTGGTTGGGGGTGTCCCACTTGGTCTAGGCAGCGGTCGCCAACCTTTCAGTCCTCACAGACCACCAGTTGTTCCATGGACCACTGGTTGGCAACCGCTGCTCCAAAGGTTTCCTTAAATCAGCAGTCGCCAACCTATCAGACCTCACGGACCACCAGTGGACCACCTGTTGGCGACCACTGGTCTAGAGGGCCTGTGGTACAGCTCTTCTGTACCAGGACTGTCTTCTGTGTGCAGGCGCGGACTTCGAGTTCTGCTGAGAGTCCTGGGTTTTGGGTCCCAGTATGCTGCATGTGGGCTTAGAGCCCTCCTTTGGTTGTACCCACTCTTGTATGCTCTACCTTGCTGTTTGCTATGTCATCGTTAGATTCTCTTAGTCTGCCAGAAATTTGCAGTCTCTTGTCTGCCTTCTTATTTTCGTTCTTGTGCGTTTATTATATGCTGTTAAATTCATTTTAATGGGATGAGCAGTGATCACATGTGAACAGCCAGTTCCTTACTATGAGCAAGAATTCCAGAACCTGTTCTCATCACGTGCTCCTCTCCTGCCTCCCAGTGGTCTAAGTGACGATGCCCACCGTCAGTGGGACATGGGGCCAGTCATGATCCCCATGGCTGTTTCCATATTGCAAGTGTGGGTGGATGGTGTTTGTTCCCTGTGGAGGTTCTTCTGGCTCTGCAGCCTTTGAGTGGGTGCCAGGCTCAGCTGGGGAAGGTCAGTCATAGATGGGTCTTGTAGCAAAGATTGTGAGTTCAGAGTCTTTAGTCAGCTTTCACTATCAGTGTTCTAGGAGAGCCTTCAGCATGCCAAAGTTTAAGGAATGCCTCTAGTTAGGCAGTGATTATTGAACTGAAAGTGTAATTGTGATGCATTTTAGTCTATTGTCCTTTGAAAGTTGCAGACAGTGAAATACATCAGTTGTGTTTGCCAAGGCCTTGCTAGTGAAGTGGTCTATAGGCCAGCAACATCACCACACTAGGCATTTTAGGAAAATGCATGTTCCCAGGCCCTGCCCAGACATATGGAATTCGAATCTGCAGTTTTGTAAACTTAATTTTGAAGTAATTTTACAAAAGAGTTGCAAAAATTGTTTAGAGGGCTTCCCTGCTCCCTTCACCTACTTCCCCTAATGCTGACACCTTACTACTCAAGTATCCTTAGGAAAACCAAAAAATTAACATATCGGCACAGTTTATTAACTAAATTATAGTTCTTATTGAACTTCATCAATTTTCCACTAATATCCTTTTTCTGTTTCAGGATCTAATCCAGGATCCCACAATTTATTCAGTTATTATGTCTTCTTAAATCTCTAATCCGTGGTATTACATAGCCCAAAAGTATCTTTCCCAAGATATTTGTAGATTGCAAAGGAAAAATCAGTAGCATCACAGTGAAAAAACCCAGCAGATACTGCCTTAACATCACCACTAATAATACATAATAATATCAGGTGTGATCCACTGAGACGAAATGCATACCCTCAGTCTAATCATGAGAAAACTCAGAGGGACATTTGCCAAAATACTGCCGAGTACTTTTCAGAAATGTCCAGTTTTTTTTTGTTTTTGTTTTTCTTAAACATTTATTTTCTCATAGTTTTGGAGGCTAGAAATCTGATATCAAGATGCCAGCAGGTTTGGTTCCTTCTCCAGCCTTTCTCTCTGGTTTGCAAATAGATGGCCACCTTGTATCCTCCCATGGTCTTTCCTTTGTACATATTTGTCTGATGTCTCTTCATTTGTCAAAATTTTCTTATAAGGATACCAGTCAGGTTGGATTAGGGTCCACCTTAATGGCTCATTTTAACTTAACCCCATCTTTAAAGGCCCTGTGTCCAAATACAGTTACATTTTGAGTTACTGGGACTAAGGTTTCAACATGAATTTTTTTGGGGGGAGGACACAATTCAGTCCATAACAGGTGACAATATGGCAGATTTACTTTTCCTAAATATTTTCTACAATTTCTATATAATGTTTTAATATTTTACAAGGAGCCTAATATTCTTCCTTTATAATAAAAGCCAAATATGCTAAGTGTCGGGTCCTCCATCCAGCCAATCAAAGTGTAATATGGTAATGGTATGCTAAGGCTGCTCAGCTGCTTGCTATGACGTGCACTGACCACCAGGAGGCAGGCAGTCAACTGGTCGATGGGTCACTATGACGTGCACTGACCACTGGGGGCAGACGCTTCGACGGGTAGGTTAGCTTGCTCTGGGGTCCAGGCAGTTGGGACTGAGTGAGACATGTTGGACACGCCCTGGAGTCCTCCTGCAGTCCCTCCCTGGCTGGCCAACCTCCCGCATTCCTCCCCGGCCCCGATCGTGCACTGGTGGGGTCCCTTGGCCTGACCTGCGTCCTCTCGCAATCCGGGCCCCTTGGGGGATGTTGGAGGGCCGGTTTTGGCCGGATCCCGCAGGCTAGGCCGAGGGACCCACTGGTGCACAAATTCATGCACCAGGTCTCCCCCTCAAGAATGCCCTGGCCGGCCCAGCCTCCGAGTGGTTGCCCCCACCCCAATCGGGGGTGGGACCAGCTGGCAAACCACCTGTGGCCCCTCACGGTAGCCAGCCTGCCCCTGATGGCCGCCATCAGGGACGGGCTGGCTGGAATCCACCAGTGCACGAATTTGTGCACCGGGCCTCTAGTATGTATGTATGTGTGTGTGTCTGTGTGTGTATAATATATATATATACACACATATACATATATGTGCACACACACACATATACATATATACATATATGGCTAATATGCAAAGTGTTCCCTTGGGAGTTTGACCAGGAGACTGGGAGTTCGATCGCTTGCTATGATGTGTGCTGACCACCAGGGGACGACACAGAACATGGCAGGTGACCAACGGCAGTGGGGTGTTGAGGGAGCGAGGGAAGGAGGAGGCGGGGAACCTGATAGGTTCTGATCACTGGCCAGGCCTAGGGACCCTACCATGCACCGGGCCTCTAGTTATTTTATAATTTGGAAAAGCAACAATATTAGAACAAAAGTATTTGTGTTTACATTTAAAATACAGTTAGATTCTATGTGTGATATAGATTTTTCATTTACATGAAATGTCTTCTGGGCATTTGAAAGTCAAGG